GGGGGACCTATTCACACCTGTCCTGGTGGTCACCTGACTGCTCTCAGCCAATCAGGGATTGTTCTTCAACCAGCTGATTTCTCCTCTCGCCATTTCACCTGGACTGCAGGAGGCTTCAAAGCAACAAATCATTCTTTCTATCTTATTGTTTCTAATGACGTTTTATTTGTTGGGAGGCGCAGGAAGTGGGCGGGGCTTTAGGTTGATCTTTTGTAAACGTGAATCAGTCGCAGCTAAAATGACTAGAGATTAAAAACAAGACTACTCCATCTTTTTAAACAGAAATGCCACTTTTTGCATGACGTGTTCACAATGTGTAACATCTTTTGTAGAAAGCATACGCGAGGTGTGTTTCAGGAGGGGGCGGGGCTTATGGCGGGAGGGCGGGGCTTAAAGAGGGGTTGTTCCCGTTAATGAGCAGCAGAATCTGGCTGTAAAAAGTCCAAATTAAACAGAAATGTGAGTGTAGGACTGAAAACGGCCAGCAGGGGCAGTCGGGGGCACTACAGACTACTTTCAGGGACAGGATGACGCCCCTCCCCCGCCCGTTGCTGGACTGGAGGTTTCTGAAGGCGACCAGCTGCTGGTGCGCTCATACTGCCGAGGGACGCTTCGGGAACAACCCTCGAAAAATCGCAATATTTTGAAAGCAGGTTCTCCAGTTTTGATTTTGACTTTGATCAGAGACTTTAAAATGAAATATTTTAAATAGCTTAGGGTCTTTTTTTTAAGGATAAAAATTATGGACACATTGATGAGGAATAACCATCATCCTGTTTCTTTAGACTAAAATGTGGGATGTGACCCATTTTTCCCAAAGTTTGGTTCCTTACTTGGTTCAGTCAGAGTTTGTGGGCGGGGCCTAATGTTCCTAATGGTTTCTCATGTATGTTTCCCCCGTTGTATGACTGTATGAGACCATTCCCACAATATTTGTGGACTACCTGATAAATAACTTATCATTTTTGTGAACCTAAATAAATATTGTATGTCAACCTCTACAGGAAACCAACTTTTCCTTCACTTCCTGTTTCTAAATGCTTTTAAGCTGATGATTGGATGAAGTTTTGGGTTATTATAACTTTAATAATGTCTCTGCTGTCCTCAGATTCTTGGATTTA